TCATCTGTTCCAGGAGAGCAGCGAGACTTGCACGCAGGGAACTCGAGCTTAACTTGAAGAAAATCCAGGAATGCATGCAGGTGATATTTGACGTGCACAGCATAGAATGCAGTGAGTGCTTTAAAGCAGCGATACCTGAGGTGAGAAAGAAGGAGCAAACAATCAGAGATGGAGTCGAACGTCTGAGACAACTTACAGCTGAAGCAAGAGCAGAGCCTGACTTCTGGCACGCACCGTTTCATGACGGTATCTATAGCAAGCTCTGGGAGAGTCAGAGTAGGATCACGGAGCTCTTGAGTTACCTGAGCCTCGCAACAGTCGACTTCCGGTCAGAAGGCAAACTGTTCACTGGTGGTGTCACTCGCCAACTAAAGATAAGCCAAATTGGCCTCTCAAAAACTTTCGAGTGCACTTATCAGTCCCTGCGCCAAAAAAGAAGCAAGGTCCAGCATACTGCAGACATAGAGAATCAGTTCGAAGAGTCTAGCATCAAAGACGACGTCGACACCTCAACTCCAGAAGAAATCTACGGAGATTTCCAGCTAGTGCATTCGGAAGCCGCGTTGACGATTGGAGCAATCGGCTTTTGCTGCCACGAGCTTCTAAAACAAGCCACGTATCTCAAAAAGCTGACGCAAGAGCTGCTACTGCAGGAAGAAGAAGAATCGCAAAGTTAGAACTGGATATAGTTCTGTAAGCAAAATGTAAGCAAGAATGCCTGCAAACCTGCAGGCAAAGCATCTTTGAACTAAATTTTAAAAACTTACACTCTCAAAATCAGCATATAGCGAAGATGCCAGAAACTGAGTCTTATTTAGACGTAAAACTACATGAAGTACATAAATCGTCAACCTCTTGCAGAGAGCAAGGCTTGTAATTCACCCCTTCTCTTTTCTAGCTCCTGCAAATCCAGATTAGAGCACAATTCGCAAAATCTACGCAAGAGATACCTCGAGATCTTTAGCAGCCTTCTCGCGCCCTTTTGATTTTTCAATTCGGGAACGCTTGAATTTTCTAATGCACAAAAGGCCCTGCCAGTTGATGCAAGAAAACCGTGGTAAAACCTCCAAGAAAACGAACAAAAGCATACTCACTGCTACAACGTAAACTGCACCACATCCCAGGAGCATTCCACTAGCGACTTCCGAAAAGACCACTTGATAAGCACGGTCCTTGTGCTCATCTGATAGGGCCTGTGTCATCACTGCTACACTGCAAAACCAAGCTCTCGTTAGCAAAGAAGAGCGAAGAAAGAAATTTGTAAGAGAAGCTTACAAAATTTGCAGCATGCCTCGTCCAACCCAGTACTCAAGAACCTATGCACAAAACGAGCGAGTAATCACATCGAAAGAGCAGAAGAAAAGCGGTTCTAGAACTTACACGCCAGAACTTCAAGAAGAATTCCCATTCGGTCTCGGCCACAGCGACGAAGAGCGCGATCACTACCGCGTAGCAGCGAAGAATCCCTTCAAATATCTGTAGAAACGAAACATCGAGACAAGATGGATGTTTCACCTCGACGAGAAGAGAAACTTACATCGCGGCCGTGCTTAAAGGCTCGCACCACCGAAATCACACTCACCGCAGTGCACAGCAAGGCCGAGATCGCAGTGAGAGCGCTAAATATCCGAAATGCGATCACCAGAGCGTCCGGCCCTCGCGGCTCTCGTCGATCTAGACTGCTTCTGCTGCTCTCCGCGTCGCCCTCGCTAGGAATGGAACTCATCGATCGATCGATCCGCAAACCCTACCAGCGCCTTCTTTCAAAGAAGACAAATTTCTACCATAGCCATTCTTTTTAGGGTTCTTGGCCAATGTTTTGCTACTAACTAACTTGGCGCGATGGCGGGCGCTCTAATCCAGTCGTGGGATGAGATCGAAGGAAAGGTGAAGAGCAAGGTGGGGCAGCTAACGGGACTGCTCCAGCATTTCACCGCTTCTTCCGAGTCGGATTCCGATATTTACTACCAGGTTTGTGCGATCGATCGCCATCTGTGGTTGATTGAATGGATATTTCGGGAGAATGGGAGATTATTTCGGGTGTTTGGTTGTTTGTAGAGTTTGGCGAGCCAGCATGACACCGAGATTGAGGAGATTCTTCGCGAAACTGTGGGGCGACTCCAGCTCTTTAGAGATGCAATGCAGTATCGCGTCGAGGGAGATCACATCAAAGCCGCGGCCGAGGTAGAGCCTTTGTTTTCCTCTTTCTTTCTTTTCTTCCTTTCCAAGGCTTATACATGAAAGTAAGAAAAATAAAACGCAGGCTGTGCGACTCGAGGCCGAGAATGAGCTCAATGCTTATAAGAAGGTAAGAACTTCGTTCCTTCCAATTTTTTGTTTTAATTCTTTCCTTCTTCTTCTTCTTCAATAGACATCTCAAGAGCGGCAAGAAGCATTGGAGGCGACTCACAACCAAAAGATGGAGCTTGTTGGGGGGTATGATTTTCACTTTGCAACTAGGAGGAGGAATGCTTACTAGGATTGTCGTGCTCTAGAGCAACAGGAATATGGCTCTAATGAGGGAGACGCTGGATAAAGCGACTACTGAGCTCGAGACAACGCTAGAAACAATCAGCCGTCTTTCGGATGTGTGTAAGATTCTTTTATCGCTCTCATTTGGCTAAATGCTTGCTTTCAGGAGCTTGAAGAAGCAAAGCGTTTGCACGAAAAAGAGGTAAGGCTGCTAAGTACGAACAACAACTTCATGCCGGTCTTTGTTTGATTTTCACCGGCCAGATTGGAAAGGAACGGATTGAAAGAAAGAGCGAGGTAGAGGCTCTTTTGCAAAAGCACGAGGCTGAACTTCGGGCCCGGATTGAACGTCAAGAGGAAGAGCAAATGAAGCAAGAGGCTTCACACGAAGACCTGATGGATGTGAGAGCTTAATCACGTGTTTTGGTCCGTATTATGTTCGGTTTGATTATTTTCTCAGCAACTTCGAGCTTATTACAAAGACGAGATCAGTCGGCTGAAGGTAAGCTAGTCAGTTGATTCGATTTGTAAAATTTTATACTTTTGCAGGTAGAGAACAAAGAGAAGGTGTCTACACTTCAACAAAACTATGATGCATTGCAATACGACTTGACTACCGAAGTAAGAATTTAATGATCTGGTCCAGTTTCACCTATCAATGGTTTTTTTCTTTTTTTCTTTTTTTCTTTTTCAGAAACTAGCCATTCAGAACAGGCTGACTGTCGTTTACAAGGAAAGGGAAGCTCTAGCAAAAGAGACGGCCATGCTGAAAGGAAGCCTCAGAGAGGCCAATTCCTTGATTGAGAATGCTCATGCGGAGCATCTACAGGTGGTTTGCCTGTTCTCTTGCTCTGGTTTCGTACTTTATCGTTCTTACGCTCTTGTATGATCTTGCCACGTAAAGGATTGCAGACGAGGTCTAGTTTGGAAGACGACATCCAAGTCCTGAAGGAAGACAACAGGCATTTGGTGCTACTCGTTTTGACTTCATAATTGTTTACATTTACAATGCTTCATGTTGATCATTATATCAGGAGGAACGATTGAAAGGTGCCCTTGCAGATATGTACAAGTTGTCCGAGCATGCAGAGTAAACTCCTGGCTCTGTTTGTCCGGTATAATTCTTTTCTTTCTTCCGAGTGGCCTTCCACAGTGTTGAGAAGAATGCATCTGCGACAAGCTTGGCTGAACTGGTAGTACTTCGTTTTTCTAATTTTCGATAAATCTTGTTTTGTTTTGGCAGGAAGATACGATCCGAAGATTAAAGTACGAGTTAGATAAGATGACTAGCAGCAGTAAGAAGAAAGAGGACATTATCAGTAATGATAACTGCAAGGTTGGGGATTGCATGGGTTTGATGTTGAAGAAAATTTTAAACTAACGTTGATTTTTTCAGATTGAACAACTGCACTCATCCTTAACAAAGACCCAGAGAGAGCTGGACGTTGCATTGGCAGAGGTTTGCTGAAAGTGTTGGGGTTGTTATTGAACTTTGTCTCAACAGCTCGAGAAAGAACGATATAACATAGCAGTTAAGGACGACGAGATTCAAGAGCTAGATTCTGTGAAGAGAGGAATTGGTGAAGAATCGTCCCAGCTGCGTTCAAGCCTTTCAGAAGTATAATCAACAGTCCAAACTTTCTTATTTGCTTCCTGTGTTTTAGAAAGAAGACTATATTCAACGGCTGGAGGTCAAGCTTAAAATTCGCGTGGCCGAACATGAGTTGAAACTGAAAAACATGGAGGAAGACTTTTCGCGAACGGTAGTACTTTTCTTCTTTCTTGTTTATTTATATTACTGTTCCTTCTTGTGTTCTACAGAGAGAACTTCGGCGAGAGAAGCACCGGAAAGAAGTCAAGGGATTGCAGTCTAAGCTGAAGGAGCAACAACTGAAACACCTGACTCATTTAAATATTTATCAGAAAAGGGTAAGCAAATGAAACATATGTTTTGATATCAATTGTAGTGTCGTATGTGAAAGGTTGATCACCTCGAGGCTGAAATTGAGACGCTGAAAGTACATGGTGAACATGAGCTTAAGTCTCTAAACTCCCAAGCAACAGATCATGAAGACAATTTTAAACTGGTATGCTGAAACTGGTCGACGATTTAAGCTTTATGTTCTGCTGTGAAGGTGTGCCTAAATTTCGAACGAAAACTTCAAGAGTCTCAACGAAAGGGTACACAGCTGGAAGAGTCACTGGAGTTGCTGGCTCAAGAGGTAAGAAGATTGTCTCGTGTTTATTTGATCTGAATCAGTTGGTAGTTTTCAGCTTCGTTCGAGAGAAAGGCAAAAGGTTGCTGACATCGAATCATTAAACCGAGAACTTGAGGATGCGAAACTTGCGGAGAAGAATGCGGAAGCGGCAGCTTTGCAAAGCTATTTGGCCAAGCTTGAACAGTAAATGAAAGACAAGGACGCGTTCATAATCGTAGTTGTGATCACTGTAGGAAGGAGAAGGAATTCCATCAGAACGTGGAAGATGAACATGAACGAGCTGAATGTGCGATTCAAAAGTTGAACGAGATGCATGCTATCGCTATAGAAGTTGCTCTCCATAACCACCAGGTTGGTCCTGTGTTTTTTCTTCTTTGCTTGTTTAGTAATTGTGCAAATTCTGCAGATGGAGCGTGACGCTCTTAAAAACGCGTTTGAGGAAACTAAGGTAAATCATTGTCAATGTATACTCTGGAAACACTTAATCTGCATGACAGGCACAAGAGATTCGAGTGGCAGCTGAGAAATATCAGAAACAAATAGAGAAGACTGAGGCTGAGTTTGAAGAGGAGCGCGGAAGGTTCAGGCGTGAGCAGGATGAAACACGAGTTTTAGTTGTTCAGCAACAAAATGCTTTAGTAATGGCTCATCAGCACGCTCTTGAGGTATTTCCTGTTGCTTTTCAGAATTTCCTTGTATGTAACGCACTGGAAAAACACAGGCTCAAATGAAAAAGGCAGAGGTTGAGGTGACTCAACTCAAAGAAACTCATGCGAGGGAGATGGCTATTGCTGTGTCTCGGTCCACTGAAAAGGTGGTCTTGGAATCTCTGACCTTGCATGAAGACCACAAGAAGCGGCTAGAACGTCTTTCTGAAGTCCATAGATCAGAGACGCAAAAACTGAACGAGATCCACGCAAAGGAAACAGAGAAGGTTGGCTTGCTCTTATTTATATTGTCTTCTTTCTAACTCCTCCAGGCAGACTAAATCCCATAACTCTCACTTGATGCACCGTATCACCGAGCTGGAATACATGATCACTCTTAAGGTTCGGCCCATCACCATCAGTTGAAAGGGCATTTAGTCTCTCACTTTTGATTCTTACAGGAGAAAAAACTGAAAGATTTAAGCGATAACAGCCGTGAGATTGAAATAAAGAGCGAATCTGCTTTGAAGGAGTTGAGGCTGAGCCATGAGAAAGCGTAAGCTTTAACATAGTTAAGCCGCACGTATTCCTTTCTTTGTACTGCCAGCTTCAACTTTCAGCGGTGCAAGTTTTCCAAGGACAAGGAAGTTATGGGGAAGCAACTGGAAAAGAAATACCGGACCGAGCTAGACACCTGCAACACGTTTCATGCACAGCAATACCAAAATCTCCAACAAGATCTCAACCGTAGCAAGGTAGCTTGTTTCCCTTTTACATTCTTCTGTATCAATCTTGGAATCGCCAGCTTGTGATGAGGCAAAAGCAAGCAGAAATGACAGAGTTACAGCAACAGTTTGTGAAGCTGAAGGTAACGTCTCTTTGTGTCCTGTTGACAAGATTTTTACTTTGCTTTTTCCAGAGCTGCAGGAACGATTTGATAACCGAGAGTCGAAACCAGAAGATGTGGAGAGAATTACATGCTTGGAGCAGCTGTACGTGAAGCTTCAAGAGTTGTGCGAAGCTAAAGATCTGGCGTACCAAAGACTTCACGGTAAGTTTTTTTCTTTGTCACTTCTTTAGACGCATTGGCTGATGGCTTACTCGCAGCTGAGTCGAAACAAATCAAGATGGAAATGCTAAACCGAGAAGAAAACTACAACAAAATCTTCAGGAGCTCCCCAGTGGTCCAGCCGGTAAACTTACCTTACGTTCAGACTCCTCACTTTCGATTCGATTCATTTTTCCCTCTATGTTATGCTAGACATCGATTGAATTGAAGCCAAGGAGCCCATCGCGATCGGCGCAAGGCTCACGCTCAGCATCTCGTCAAGGCAACCGTGTGGAAATAAAGTTCTAGAGCATTCTAAGTGCCACCTGGTAAATTAAAGCCAGACGTCGGCATTGTTTTCTTCCGATGTTAAAGTTATAAAAGTTCGCGTGAGAATCAGGAGCATATTCTTGGATAAGCAACTAAACCGCAAACTCTGCTGACCGCTGTTGACTCGCCTCGTTGACATAATTCAAGAAGCATTTTGACTTGGAAGAACAGCAAAAGTTTACGAGCGACTAGCGAGTTAAGCAGCCTGGAGTGACCGAGAAACTGGGCGACGTGGTGGCGCGACGAGGGAACAATCATGAAATCCAAGTCAAAACAGAAGTTAGGGCTCTGGATTACGTGGAATTAAACCTATCCCACATGCCGGGGCGTGGATTGAGGACACTAAACCAGTATATAAGCTAGGGCCAGGTGGATGGCATTTATTGGTGATGATGAAAGCTAGTGGCCTAGGTTTGGCTTTTTTATTGCACTTTGGCTTGGCTAGGCAAAGTGTTTCAAGTGGGTGGAGGCTGTGGCTCTTAAGATATGCTCCCTCGTCATTTTCTTGTTGCGCGACCGACGCGTTCGTCGTTGCTTGCGTTGTTTTTTTTGAGCGAGAGGAGTGTCTGCTGTTGGTTGCGTTGTTTCCTCTTTGTTTTCTTGCGCCACCGCGTCGCCCAGTTTCTCGCTCTCGGCCCTCTTCTTCATGAGCTCCAGGAACTTTTCCTTCTCCTCTGGAGTGGAATACTCGAGCGAGCAGTCGCCCACTCCAGGCTGCCATTCACGCTAGGCAAGTAAATTCATTCAAGTGAACTTGCTAGCGTGCATCAGAATGCTTCGATGTAGAAGCGAATCCTGCTTTTCTTTTTAGTCTTCTATAAAATCCCATTGTGGCTGGACCTAAATTTCGGAAGATTGGGAGAAGTGGGCGACGCTAGGCATCACTCATTTGGAGGTGGTGAGAGCTTGTGAAGGACTGGTGCTTATAGAATTTGGTGGGGTGCTGGTGGAGGCTGCGGATCAACACAAAGTCAGCTTGCCTAAGATGACAACAACGAATGTGGATATCGCTGAAGTTGCTGGTGGTATGTATGTGCCTCATAAGAATCAAATGGCTTAGCTTTTGTTGTGCAGAGCTTGTAGAACAATCCAGGAAACTAACAAACATAATGAGTAGCTTGCAATCCACACTTTCCAGAATGGAGGGAGCCAAGCAAGATCTAGATTTCGATGGTATCTCGTCTCGAGCTCTTGATCTCTTCTTACAAGTGTATACTTAGCTTTGAAGTGGTTCCTTTTGTGCAGAACAATTTAAAGCGCTCCTTGGTAATCCGGGTGACCCTGGCTGCGAGGATAAAGTAAAGGCCATGATAGAAAATGGCTGGGATATCCACAATGTCGTTTTTGACCATGGTGCCACCACGGCACTCCATTGGGCAAGCGCGAGTGGGAATCTCAGTCTGGTCAAGGCTTTACTTCCCAGAAGCATCAGAGACATCCTCAAAAAGGATGGGCTTGGCAACACTGCACTTCATGCAGCCGTTATGAGCAACGTTGCAGGGGTTCTTGCGGTATTGCTTGAACAAATCAAGAAGAAGAAGCTAAAAGCTGTGGGCTTGTGCAACAACAAAGGAAAAACACTCTTGCACATAGCGGTTACATTCGTGGATAGAATAAATGTTATCCGTTTGCTAACTTTACTTCCGACGAGCATTGATGACATCGTGAGGCCTGATAACGATGGGAATACCCCACTTCATGTAGCTGCTTTTTGTGGTTACCATGGCACGTTCAACTATATGATTGAACGGTTAGGAGCCAACTTTGATGCCGATCAGTATGTCAACAACGATGGCAACACGCCTCTTCACGTGGCTATGACAAAAGGACGTGACAATATGTGTATTTTGTTGATAAAACTGGGTGCTAGTCTTTACAAACTCAACAAAGCTGGCCTTTCACCATTGATGCTGCTGGGAAAGGTGCATCAGCCTCTCCAGGTGAGAATCATGAGGAAAGTCCTCAAGAGAATACTGTCAACCGACCTAGCAGGTATTTCTGAAGAGCTTATGCGATTGCTGACAGTTCCCGAGGTTGGGCATCTCTTAGTCTTGCATAACTGCCTTTGTATTGGGAAACTGGACCTGGTGAAGCCTCTATTTAGGCACTTTGACGTCGAGCATAATCGTCTTGCTCAGCTACTAGTTGAGAAGGACAGCAGGTTTACAGGGGAGACCTCTTTGCATGTAGCAGCTTATGGACAGGATGTTGCGGTTCTGAACATGGTGGTGGAGAAGCTGCAGGAAGGTGGGGACCCTTGGGACGTAGACTGCACTAACAACATGGGGCAGACACCTTTGCACATTGCATTTGCAGGAGGCAACACTAAAATGGTTGAGCGTTTGCTCGAGCTCAAAGCTGATATAAACAAGACTGACAACATGGGCACTGGCATGTTGCACTTTGCTTGTAGAGGTAAAGGTAGGAAGGTTGAGGTTCTTGAGCTCTTGGAGGAGAAGCTAGGGGAGAAGCTGGAAATCAGCAAGGCAACAAAGACTGGCTTGACCCCGCTGCATTATGCAGCTTGGAATGATAAAGAGGAAGCAGGGAAATGGTTGATAGACAGGAATGCCGATTTGACTGCTGAGGATTCTGTTGAAGGACTTATGCCATGGCACTGGGCTGTCATTAGAGGATCTGGAAGATATACTTGGCTTGTCAACTCTCACTTGGAAAGAAGTGTAAGATTGTTTAATGGGAATGTGGACTTTGAAAGGTGGCAACAGGTGTTTCATTCAATTGAAGCCCATCGCTCAAATGAGCCAGATTTGGTGTGTCGGAAAGTATTAAACCATATTCAGGCGCAGCACAGGAAACTTGAGCCTGGATTATTGGCTTGCATTGCGGCCTTAGGAGGTAACCACACAAATGAAATGCTTGCATCACTTCTCATTAAATTCTCATCAGACGAGCAGGCTAAGGATTACATTTTAAAAATAGTCAAGGAATCACGAATATTGGAATGGGCCGCATTCTATGCCAAGAACACAACAAGGGGAAGAACACGAGCGAGCGATGTAGAGCCAATGTTCAGGGCCTTGGAGATCTTAAGCCAGCTAGATCGTCGTGGCAAAGAGCAGCTAAATAGATATGCTTCTAGCAGCCAGTTTTTGGTGGATGCTTTCAAGATTGGTTTCCTTAGTGCAGATGTATGGAAATCCGGATTTGCCACGAGGCTAGCTACAGCAAGCAGTCGATGGGGGCTTGGCGATCTGATCAAGTCAGTCCTGCCTCGTTGGTCTGACCAGGAATCAAAAGAGAATCTAAACAGGGTCCACAGAAGTAGTCATTTGGTCCACATGAGCATCTCTAACTTGGTGGAGGACATCCCTCTGGCTTACTGGTTTACAAGGCTGAAAGAGAAAAGCACAGCAGAAAGTACTGACAGTGGAAGATCGAACCAAGAGGAGAACAAGAGCAAAGCTCTTGTAAAGAAAGTTGAAGATCTTTTAGAAAGCAGGAAGATTGGAGGGATGCTGGAGTACCCAAATGACAAGGGGGTTCACACAGGCAGGACTGCCTTGCATTGGTCCACCATCTTTGAGGAGACCTCTACCACCCTCTCTATCCTCCATACAAGGAATTGTAGAGTTGACATATTTGACAACTTTGGAAAGGCACCATATTGGTATGCTCCAAAATCCTGGAAAAACAGCTTTCTGCTCAACAGCATGAAGTGGGAACAGTACCTGGACAACTTGCACAGGGACCGGGAAGTGTTTGTAGATGCCCTCAATGCCATATTGGTGGGGGCAGCTCTGATTGCAAGTGTGACATACAGTGGATCCCTCAGCCCACCTCTGCAATACTCCCTGAAGTTCATGAACCACGGCCAGCAGGAGGATGACCTCAAGTATGTGGCCATCAACAATCCAGGAGTGAAAGCATTCTGGATCTTCAACAGCCTCTCCTTCTTCTTTGCAATGGCAAGCGCACTGGCTGGAGTTGCAGGCATCCTCCCACTGCCCCAGGTGTTTGACTTGGGTGTCATTGACAGGCTGAGGTGGACACTGCTCCTCGCTGCAAGCCTGCTGGTTGGCTCGATTTGCTTTGTTCTCGTGGCGTTTGCATGTGCAGGCTTTGCAGTCTTGCCACCTTTGTTCCGCTACAACGTTGTTATGATAGTCACATCGGTGCCGGGGGGATTGCTGTGCATGCTGATGACTTTGCTGTTTATCAAGGCGCTCTCTCCGCTTCTGTCTTGGGCGTACACATGGTATACTGATGCTCCTGGTCTGGAAGCCCCGAAACAGGAGGGCAGAGTGGAGGAAACTGCGGTGGATGTTGTTGACACTGAGGACCAGAATGCCGGCAAGATCTTGAGGTGGGTGCTAGACCCAAGTAAACAACCGGTTTACTCTGGTGTGATCTACCGGAGGCTTCGTGGATACCCGTGGATGGATGGTTTGGAGCGGCTTGGTCAGAGTAGCTGAGTTGTCTTGTTTGCTCTCGCGGCTTCATCCCCATCTGCTGCTTTTGACCGCGTTTGATCTTCACAGTACCTGATTTGTAGCACTTGCTAGAAGCTCCTGATTAATCACCAGACCGTGCTCTTCTCCGGCTTCTTCGGCCACCAGGTATGCCTCTCGCAGGAAAACGTATTGCTCGGCTGCCAGCCAAGGTGGGGACGTCCGAGACGAGCGCTCTCTTCTACACAGTAAAGCTCAGGAGCTCCACGATCCCGGAGACCCTAGCCGGAGCGTGACACGCCCGCTGGGAGAATTCGTAAGGAACGGTAGCCTCTGGAAGTTCTCGAGCTGCTCGAGCTAGAGACTTCCGGATATGAGATGACAAAGGCCGCGTCCTTGATTGAGCCACAGCTTTCTTCCGTTCCGTCACAGCCAGTTCTCCATCCCATGAAACCAGCTCGACGTAGGAATCCTCGGAAGAAGGCGACCCGGAATTGTTCAAGACTCTGCAGTTCTTCGCATGGCAATGGCCTGTTCTTGGCCTGTTGAAGCACTCATCTGTTCCAGAAGAGCAGTGAGACTTGCACGCAGGGAACTCGAGCTTAACTTGAAGAAAATCCAGGAATGCATGCAGGTGATATTTGACGTGCACAGCATAGAATGCAGTGAGTGCTTTAAAGCAACGATACCTGAGCTGAGAAAGAAGAAGCAAACAATCAGAGATGGAGTTGAACGTCTGAGACAACTTACAGCCGAAGCAAGAGCAGAGCCTGACTTCTGGCACGCACCGTTTCATGACAATATCTATAGCAAGCTCTGGGAGAGTCAGAGTGAGTTACCTGAGCCTCGCAACAGTCGACTTCCGGTCAGAAGGCAAACTGTTCACTGGTGGTGTCACTCGCCAACTAAAGATAAGCCAAATTGGCCTCTCAAAAACTTTCGAGTGCACTTATCAGTCCCTGCGCCAAAAAAGAAGCAAGGCCCAGCATACTGCAGACATAGAGAATCAGTTTGAAGAGTCTAGCATCAAAGACGACGTCGACACCTCACCTCCAGAAGAAATCTACGGAGATTTCCAGCTAGTGCATTCGGAAGCCGCGTTGACGATTGGAGCAATCGGCTTTTGCTGCCACGAGCTTCTAAAACAAGCCACGTATCTCAAAAAGCTGACGCAAGAGCTGCTACTGCAGGAAGAAGAAGAATCGCAAAGTTAGAATTGGATATAGTTCTGTAAGCAAAATGTAAGCAAGAATGCCTGCAAACCTGCAGGCAAAGCATCTTTGAACTAAATTTTAAAAACTTACACTCTCAAAATCAGCATATAGCGAAGATGCCAGAACCTGAGTCTCATTTAGACGTAAAACTACATGAAATACATAAATCGTCAACCTCTTGCAGAGAGCAAGGCTTGTAATTCACCCCTTCTCTTTTCTAGCTCCTGCAAATCCAGATGAGAGCACAATTCGCAAAATCTACGCAAGAGATACCTCGAGATCTTTAGCAGCCTTCTCGCGCCCTTTTGATTTTTCAATGCGGAAACGCTTGAATTTTCTAATGCACAAAAGGCCCTGCCAGTTGATGGAAGAAAACAGTGGTAAAACCTCCAAGAAAACGAACAAAAGCATACTCACTGCTACAACGTAAACGGCACCACATCCCAGGAGCATTCCACTAGCGACTTCCGAAAAGACCACTTGATAAGCACGGTCCTTGTGCTCATCTGATAGGGCCTTTGTCATCACTGCTACACTGCAAAACAAAGCTCTCGTTAACAAAGAAGAGCGAAGAAAGAAATTTTGTAAGAGAAGCTTACAAAATTTGCAGCATGCCTCGTCCAACCCAGTACTCAAGAACCTATGCACAAAACGAGCGAGTAATCACATCGAAAGAGCAGAAGAAAAGCGGTTCTAGAACTTACACGCCAGAACTTCAAGAAGAATTCCCATTCGGTCTCGGCCACAGCGACGAAGAGCGCGATCACTACCGCGTAGCAGCGAAGAGTCCCTTCAAATATCTGTAGAAACGAAGGTGAAACATCCATCTATGCTCGATGTTGGACGAGAAGAGAAACTTACATCGCAGCCATGCTTGAAGGCTCGCACCACCGAAATCACACTCGTACAGCAAGGCCGAGATCGCAGTGAGAGCGCTAAATATCCGAAATGCGATCACCAGAGCGTCCGGCCCTCGCGGCTCTCGTCGATCTAGACTGCTTCTGCTGCTCTCGGCGTCGCCCTCGCTAAGAATGGAACTCATCGATCGATCGATCCGCAAACCCTACCAGCGCCTTCTTTCAAAGAGAAGAGAAATTTCTACCATAGCCATTCTTTTTAGGGTTCTTGGCCAATGTTTTGCTACTCATATTCGAACCCAACCGGATTCGAACGGGTATTGAACGTTTAATACCCATTTAGCTTTTTTTCGAACGGGTATAATGGTTTTCAGTTTTAATATAATTAAAAAATAATTAACTGTTACTAAACAAAATTTAACATAATATAATATAAGTTTAATCTAATCTTCATCCTCCGAATCTAAAACATCATCACCACTAGCACCGTCGTCATTAGGTTGTTGAAGAGGTTCTTCAACAACTTCCTGAAGTGCAAGGATCCTTTGCCACTAAGGCTCAAGCTCAAGGTTATCAAGATCATGCTCAATAAGCCTTAAACTCCCGGACTCGATCTTTTGTATGACACGCATATTTATGTGCACAAAAACCAGCTTCTCCGAGTATTTGGAGAGCAGTTGAGACCTCCTCTTCGTCTGGATCATGCTCCATGAGCTCCAGTTTTGCTCACATGGTGAAGCACAAACTGGTTGACTCAAGATCCGTAAAGCAAGCCTTTGAAGTTTTAGTGTGCTTACACCAAAGTTGCTCCACCAACTCACCGGGTGTTTCCAGTTCTCCATCTATACAAGAGAATCAGTCTAAAAAGTTGACAAACAAACAGTTTATACACACTTGCTTTGCTGCCTCCGAAGAGAACAAATGGCCAAGTTGTTGACGGAAACTTTGAAACTCGTGCAGTAGCTCGTGTTGAAGTCCTCGATCTCCTTGTAAGCGATTAAATTTTCCATTCTACTTTAGTCACTTAACCACACCTCTGACCACTTGGAGGAGTCTCATTCACAACCTCCATAAGTCCAATCCAGGACTTGGGACTTGCTAGCCCCGAGAATGGCATCCATGCCACTCAACATTTGCACTTGGTCCAAGTGCTCCACGTGTCCGATCCCATGACCGACACTCAAAGGTACCACCGACATAGCAGCCCGTTACGCTAAGGCCATGCCCAATCACCTTTGCCACACTGGTAGTCCAATACCACTTGCATCACCGTCTTGGCTTTCCAAGACTAGGCAAACCATCCGTGAGTGGTCATCTCAGATCCACTCCTTAGCATCCTTAGGATGCCCACTGAAAAGGGGAATAGCCTTCCCCAATATCCCTCTGTCAGTCCCCACTAAGTCCCTTTCTGCCCCTGGCCGTGTTTGCCAACACTGCCACTAGATCGAGACCCACAGGCCCGACCACTAAGTCCCACGGTCCTCTGGGACTTCCTCACCACACGACTGTGTCCTTGGTCACTACCCCAGAGGACTGCTCCTCTTCCTTTCCACAGTCTGGGCCTTTGGGACAACATTTCGGAACACCGTGGCCTTACGCGAGCCACCTGGGTACTCTCCTCGCCTTCTGCCCTTGGGTGCTCTAGCCATGGGCTTAGAGCGGTTCCGTTGAGCCACACCAGGTATCCAAGTAGGTAGTGCCACCCACACTTGGACTGGGAGCATCGGCCAGTCGATCTCCCAGGGGAACTAGAGCCGGCTCTTGAACACTTCACCAAGCTACCCCACTTGTCGGTCCGTGTTCACTCTAGTCTTGGACTTCCCAGTGGGCAGCTCATCACCCAACACTGGGTCCGGCCTTCCTGGGCCAAACTGGCCTTTCCTGGCCAAACTGGCTCCACTACAGTCCTCCCCCTACTATACTTTTGGAGCTCACCAAACCCCCCAGGGTCTGGGAGACGAACGCTTTGGGCTTTCACCCTCTCAGGCTCCGGACTCAGGCTCCGGACTCGGACTCGGACTCGGACTCGGACTCGGACTCGGACTCGGGCTCGGGCTCGGTCTCGGCCTCGGTCTCGGTCTCGGTCCCGATCTCGGTCTCGGTCTCGGTCTCGGTCTCGGTCTCGGTCCCGGTCTCGGTCCCGGTCTCGGTCTCGACTTCGGACTCCATCTCGGACTCCATCTCAGACTCCATCTCGGACTCCATCTTGGGTCCATCTCGGGTCCATCTCGGACTCCATCTCGGACTCCATCTCGGGTCCATCTCGGACTCCATCTCGGACTCCATCTTGGGTCCATCTCGGGTCCATCTCGGACTCCATCTCGGACTCCATCTCGGGTCCATCTCGGACTCCATCTCGGACTCCATCTCGGGTCCATCTCAGATTCCACTTCGGACTCCAACTCGGGTCCATCTCGGACTCCAACTCGGGTCCATCTCGGACTCCACTTCGGACTCCAACTCAGGTCCATCTCGAACTCCACTTCGGACTCCAACTCGGGTCCATCTCGGACTCCACTTCGGACTCCAACTCGAGTCCATCTCGGACACTCCCACATGTCATGTGTTGGTCCTTTTGGGTCCCTTTTTGGAGCCTCGCCTTTTGCTCGCTTCGTGCTCGTTCCTCGAGCACTTCGTTGGGAGTTCCACTCCCGCTCTTGACTTTTCAAGTCGGAGCTTTTGGTCCAAACGTGTTACGCTCGTTTGGCTCTCGCTTCGGCCACTACCACGTGGCGCCCTTTTCGGCTCTACTTTGGGGCCTAGGGATTTTGTGTCTCACAACTCCACCACCCATAGACGAAGTTCGATGTCCTCATCGAACGGTAAACCATTTTATAAAGTAACACCCGCATGTGTTACCATTTCCATCCTTGGCACCTAGCCAATATTTGTCAATGGTTTGACATTGAAGGCTCACCATGCCTTCTCCATATTCGTCAATGGTTTGCCATTGAAGGCTCACCATGCCTTTTGCATATTCCTCAATGGTTTGACACTAAAGGCTCACCATGCCTTACCTATCCTCTAAGGGGGGTAGTCTCTCCAAGTTAGAGACTGATTGGACCACATGTAGTGGTTCTCTCCTTTTATTGGTTTAGTTCTCGCTAAACCTCTTAGAGACCCTTCTCTAAGTCAATCCCACTACTCCTTCTCAAGTAGTCTCAATTTCCATCTATTGAACGTTTGCACCTTGGAACTTTTACTCTTTTGACTTTTGGAAGTCAATTTCCTAGGTGTCTCCAACACCTTGCATTGCACAGATTGTGCAACTCCACTTCCCCATCCTAGGAAGCTCATTACTTGAGGGCACCATCATCCTCTTTTCTATTTCGTGCCACCTTGGGCACTAAGTTCCATTTATCATACTTTGTGCTAGGGCTGTCCATAGCCCTATCATTTGGCTACCTTACCGCTCCCTCCCTTGGAGCTTCCACTTTCGCCAAATCAGAGCAATTCGGAATTCATCCTTGGAAACACACTTCCTTTTCCGGAATTTGTTAGCGTCCAACACATTAGTGTTCCTTGCCTAACTTTGTCACTTGGATTCCTTCCAAGGGATTCCACGGCCCTATCTTGGCCACTCATCTTTTGCTCCTATCCGTTGATTGTTGCACCAAGCAACATCGAATCTCTACCTCCCTCCTTGAGGTATTCTTGTGATTCCTTAGCAAAGGCTCTGCTTTGCCAAGACTAGGGTGTTCGCCCCTAGTAAGTCTCTTTAGCATCTTCTGCTGTGGGCTCTATCCACGGCCCAACTTTGTGACCCTCCCATGGGTCTCTTTAGAGACTACTTTCCTTGGACACACTATGCCATCGCAATGACATAGCTCATTTCCCTAGGGTGCTTTTCCCACTTGGTCACCTTGACCAAGCCACATCATCATCAATAGTTCAAATCAACACTTTGAACTAGGAACCTTATTCCTTAACCCAAACAAGGACCTTGTCCTTATTTAGCCACAAGATCACCTAGTGATCTCACCTCGGCACCTTAACAGGTTTGCCAATAGGTACTAGGTCTTCCAGACCTTTAATTTGTTAACTACGACCCCGGGGGCATCCCCCACACTTGGCGGTGCGCCCAAGCCAGCCCTTCCGGCCAAGGGTCCATAGCAACTGAGATTAGGTGTCCCCATCTCACTCACCACGTCCTTGGTGCCACTCGCACCAAAGCGTTCAAGTTAGATATGCCGAGCTTTCACACTAAGCAATCTAACCGTGCATCATGACTCCGAGGCATCCCTCGCTTGGCGGTGTGCCCAAACCAGTCTCCCCACTGAGAGTCCATGACCACCGAAATATGAGTGTCTTCATATTCCAAACCATCACCACGCCCTAGTGATTTGGGACTCGAACCCAAGCACTAGAGGGTCGGGACTCGAACCCAACCTCCGTATATGCATCTACGGACGGCATCACACAAGATGCCTGGCATGACTCCCCACGCCGGTGCACCAACTTATTTTTAAAGCGCGCTATTGATCACAGCTTAGGAACCTAGTTCCTCCACACTGCCAAGTCCTCTCACTTGACATGTCTGTGATCATGCATGGACTCCTCCATGCTCGGCCCCATGGCCCACCCTTTTTGAAGTTATCACCTTCAACTAGGGTATTTGTTCCCCCGACGTGCCAATCTTGCTTGGCAAGTCCTCCGACCACTGTAACATGGTTCCTGCATAAGCGTGAAAGTCCTTGACCATCGACTTTCGTTCAAAGCCCTCTCTTTGAACACTCAAGAACTACTTCCCTAACCTTGATAGCCTTGCCTCATGGCAAGCTTCAAGACCACGCTTCTGCTGCGCCACTCTGATTTCGCGCGTTCCATGAACCATTTACACTTGGCCTTTCTAGGTACTAAGCTACCTAGAATCGTCTTTGGGAACCTTGAAGGAACTCTGTCCCTCAGCTTGCTAAGGCCTCCCTTTTTGCAAGCCTTCCAAATGCCACATAGTCTAACATGGACAATTCCATATTTTAGACTCTCCATGGCATCACGGTTGCTAACGGCAACACCCTCAAGCCCCCACTTGATTCTCCACTCCCAGCTGGCATAACAAACCTTGGTTATGCCCTTTGATTCCTACGGTTCGGTTCTATCCCCTTACTTCTTGCTTTTTGGCTTCACACCTTTCCTTTGGTCATTCTCCTTCAGACCAGGAGGATAGCTTTGCACTTTCTATCATGCTTTAGCAAGTATTCTTAGGGATGAACCTACCCAATAGCCTAGGGAGTGGTTCCTCAATCCAGGTATGCTCACCCTATAATCCCACACACCGGGATTACGTTGTTGCTTATGGGCCTTTACATGCCCATCACTAGCCTTGCCAAAATTCCATTTTTGGCTTTGTCCAACTCGGGTAGACAGTCCTCTCCTGTCTCCGCAACCTTGGACATTTGGATAGCACCTTCTATCCATCATTCGCTAGGGACTTAGTCCCTTGGGCTTTATCCATTGCTCTCGCGACATCAAACACCACCTTCTGGTGTTCTAGAGTGTTCGGGTGTCCCAATGATGGCTTTCTTGACAATGAGTATTTCCTTTTATGACATTGACTTACTATATCGCAACACAAGCAACTTATCCCCCGTAAGGGTATATCCAACTTCCCTATGCTATTAAGAAGTCTTGGGTAGCTACCTTCTACCCGTTTAACTAGTTATTTTGCACCTCTTGCTTAGTTGCCTTGTAGTTGTCAAGTCCTACAACTCATTGCTAGTGCTTCCACACCTCCATCATTATCTGGGTCACCACACTCCAACTGTATGCTCTGCAGCTTAGGCTATGCTATTCCCATTTCCATTGGGATTCCTTTGGCAAGGGGTTCTCATGAACCCACCAACATAGCCTCAAGGTATCACACCTTGGCACATTTGGTGTCTCCACACCATCGGCTCCACGAGCCTACCTCTATGACATTTCCCCTTCGTGTCTAAGTCTTTGCCAAGACCAACACCGCTCTTTCTCATGCCAACCATCCGTTAGCACTGCACCATAGAGGTCACACACAACTTTATGTCAAAGTTGTTTTCTTCTGGGAACACCTTTCCCATAACTTTAGCATGGCACATTTTGCCATCGATGAGATACCCTCTGTTCTCATCCTTGGATCCTATGATCCCCTCCCATCCTTTGTGGGGTACAACACACCTCAGTCCAAATGCTTCCATCAGTCCTTTTAGGACCATCCGTTGACTCTACTTGAGTCATCCAGCAGTTTTGGACTTAGTTAATCCACAGACCCGTAAGGTCCTACTTGTGAGGCACTAGCTCACATGAACACACTTCTTGCATTCCTGTCCTACTCAAAAGGACTATTTTCACAAGTGTTACTCCGACACTTGATTTTGTTCTCTGGGGGCAACCTTTGCCCCTTAGGACTACTTGTCCATGTGATGAGAACACCAACTCATCCCTAAGTACACCCCCCAACTCCTTGGGTTGTTCCAGCATTTATTAAAGGTAGCCCTGGCTACCATTTCAAGGACTTGAGTCCTCTTCCGTATTTGACCTCCCACGGTCATTACCTCTGGTCTCACATTCATGAGCACCAACCTCAACTATATGAGGATAATTTTGTGACTCCTTTATTGTTTTGGAGTCTCTATCTTTCCCGTGATCCCAACTTTAGTTGTTTACCACAACAACCATAGCCAATTTGCTGAGACAAATGCTCATCTGGATCACATCCTCAACTCAATGAGGAAAACCTTGCACTGTTCCCAAGATCCCAAAGTCGTTCCATTATTGGCCCTTTTCTATCCACCACCTCGTCTACAAGTTCATACATGAACTGTAATGGAGAGCCATGTCTTCCCGACTTGCTACTCCTCAAGGATAGGCCCACTCCTCGGACCTTCCGATGCCAACACTAGTGGTGATATACTTGAGCACCAATAAAAGTTGGACTAAGGAACAGCTCCGATACCAAATTGTAAGCGACTAAATTTTCCATTCTACTTTAGTCACTTAACCACACCTCTGACCACTTGGAGGAGTCTCATTCACAACCTCCATAAGTCCAATCCAGGACTTGGGACTTGCTAGCCCCGAGAATGGCATCCATGCCACTCAACATTTGCACTTGGTCCAAGTGCTCCACGTGTCCGATCCCATGACCGACACTCAAAGGTACCACTGACATAGCAGCCCGTTACGCTAAGGCCATGCCCAATCACCTTTGCCACACTGGTAGTCCAATACCACTTGCATCACCGTCTTGGCTCTCCAAGACTAGGAAAACCATCCGTGAGTGGTCATCTCAGATCCACTCCTTAGCATCCTTAGGATGCCCACCGACAAGGGGAATAGCCTTCCCTAATATCCCTCTGTCAGTCCCCACTAAGTCCCTTTCTGCCCCTGGCCGAGTTTGCCAACACTGCCACTGGATCGAGACCCACAGGCCCGACCACTAAGTCCCACGGTCCTCTGGGACTTCCTCACCACACGACTGTGTCCTTGGTCACTACCCCAGAGGACTGCTCCTCTTCCTTTCCACAATCTGGGCCTTTGGGACAACATTTCGGAACACCGTGGCCTTATGCGAGCCACCTGGGTACTCTCCTCGCCTTCTGCCCTTGGGTGCTCTAGCCATGGGCTTAGAGCGGGTTCCGTTGAGCCACACCAGGTATCCAAGTAGGTAGTGCCACCCACACTTGGACTGGGAGCATCGGCCAGTCGATCTCCCGGGGGAACTAGAGCCGGCTCTTGAACACTTCACCAAGCTACCCCACTTGTCGGTCCGTGTTCACTCTAGTCTTGGACTTCCCAGTGGGCAGCTCATCACCCAACACTGGGTCCGGCCTTCCTGGGCCAAACTGGCCTTTCCTGGCCAAACTGGCTCCACTACAGTCCTCCCCCTACTATACTTTTGGAGCTCACCAAACCCCCCAGGGTCTGGGAGACGAACGCTTTGGGCTTTCACCCTCTCAGGCTCCGGACTCAGGCTCCGGACTCGGACTCGGACTCGGACTCGGACTCGGACTCGGGCTCGGGCTCGGGCTCGGTCTCGGCCTCGGCCTCGGTCTCGGTCTCGGTCCCGATCTCGGTCTCGGTCTCGGTCTCGGTCTCGGTCTCGATCTCGGTCCCGGTCTTGGTCCCGGTCTCGGTCTCGACTTCGGACTCCATCTCAGACTCCATCTCAGACTCCATCTCGGACTCCATCTTGGGTCCATCTCGGGTCCATCTCGGACTCCATCTCGGACTCCATCTCGGGTCCATCTCGGACTCCATCTTGGGTCCATCTCGGGTCCATCTCGGACTCCATCTCGGACTCCATCTCGGGTCCATCTCGGACTCCATCTCGGACTCCATTTCGGGTCCATCTCGGGTCCACCTCGGACTCCATCTCGGACTCCATCTCGGACTCCATCTCGGGTCCATCTCGGATTCCACTTCGGACTCCAACTCGGGTCCATCTCGGACTCCACTTCGGACTCCAACTCAGGTCCATCTCGAACTCCACTTCGGACTCCAACTCGGGTCCATCTCGGACTCCACTTCGGACTCCAACTCGAGTCCATCTCGGACACTCCCACGTGTCATGTGTTGGTCCTTTTGGGTCCCTTTTTGGAGCCTCGCCTTTTGCTCGCTTCGTGCTCGTTCCTCGAGCACTTCGTTGGGAGTTCCACTCCCGCTCTTGACTTTTCAAGTCGGAGCTTTTGGTCCAAACGTGTTACGCTCGTTTGGCTCTCGCTTCGGCCACTACCACATGGTGCCCTTTCCGGCTCTACTTTGGGGCCTAGGGATTTTGTGTCTCACACTCCTTTGCAATACAACTTTAGGTACTCCACAAAATCTTCCTGAGCCTCTTGGTCGAGAGGGAGATGAAGAAAAGTTGGGTTCAAAACAAAAGCAGCTCCATGCAAGATCGAATGCATCTGGAACCAACGAGCTGCTTTCTGGCCTCCCTCGCCATGATCCTCCATCATGAACCTGTTGATCTCCTCAACCTCTTCCTCGGCTAAAATCCCAGTCTCAACAGCCTCTGAAAGCTTCTCATTCATCCGGTCCATAGCCTCGAAAATGAGACTGGAAGTTGCCCCCTCCCAGTCCACAAGCTTCAAGACCTTGAGGAGCAGTCCAAGCAGCACCAACAAGTGCTGGCACCTAGTCCAAAAAGAGTTTAGAGTCTCTTCTAAGATCCGAGTTTGAATGCGCTGGGCTTTGGCGGTCTTTGTGACGTCCAATCGCCGCCACTCGGAGCTCACAACCATCTCCTTCAATGCCTCCAAGGTCGTTAGATTTAGGAGCTGAGACATCACTAGAAACATGTAAGTGAACCTTGTGCTCACCGGCTTGATGAGATCCTGATTGCTCAGCTTCCGAAACAAAGCCAAAACACGAGGTTTTTTGGTGATAAAAGTTACCACCTCGTTGCAGCCTTTCACTAGTGGTTGTACCCACGACAAGCTCCCGATGTCTTCGAAGAGAAGGTCCAAGACATGGCACACACACCGGCTGTGGAGAATGTGAGGATACTTAGCTGTCATGAGTTCTCCCATTTGCACATAGTTTGATGCATTGTCAGTGATCACTTGAACAACATTTTCTTCACCAACTTTTTGAATCACTTTCTTCAACTCGACCCAAATCCACTCTCCCATCTTTGTTCTGCCCTCGGAATCTACAAACTTCAAGAAAACCGAACCCTGGACGTTGGAGGCCATGAAGTTGATCAAGGATTGGCTACAGTTGTCAAACCAGCCATCAGTGACAATGCTAACTCCATATCTTCTCCACCCCTCACAGATTGGATCAAGTCGAGCATTGACACTATCATAAAGCTTCTTTAGCTGTGTACTCCGCAGCTTCTCATATCCCATCATCTGTGCAAGAGCTCCAGGGCTGAAGTCGATAGCAGCTTGAAGCAACTTCCTCAGATTTGGCCTTCGAATGGTGTTGAAAGGGATATTTTCAATGTAGAAGAACTCGGCCACTGCATCATCCAGACATTGAACCTTTGCAGACTTCATCATCTTTCGAATGTCACCATCCAATGCCGGTGCAGCACTTTGTTTAAGACTGTTGCTCCCGGAAAGTGGAACGTTGCCGCTGCTCGCCTCGCCCAGCCCTCCGGTAGCCCCACCACTTGCCCCGCAGCTGGCACTGTCGCTCACCTCACCAACCTCAGTCTCATGAGCTAAGGCAAGTCTCTCTTGGGGACTTACTGCAATCATAGAGCTCTTCGTGAGCTCCACACGATTAAAAGATGCCCGAGCCTTGTTCACCACCTCCAGTGGCACCTGTCCTATACAAATCTCTACATTCCTTCCTTTCACACCCCCAAGGTGAGCACGAACTTGTTCAGCCGCGCCGGTGTAAATAATACTTACACTTCCATGGACTCACGCCGTGGCTTGTCTTGGATGTCGGCCTCAGTTTCAGAACATGAGCCCAGCTCCAGCATGGCTGCCTTCCTCCCCCCATCCCGGACTTACCTCAGCGCTTTCGGATCCCACGAACCCTGATTTTACATGAACTCTAATCCTAAGTTAAAGAAAGCATATTCTTTAGGGTTTTTTAAAAATATTCTTGGTGTTTAAACGCTGTATTATATGCGTGTTTTAAACGGTGTTTTTTATTAATCGTACCCGTTCAAATGCAAGTATGTTGCTACTAACTAACTTGGCGCGATGGTGAGCGCTCTAATCTAGTCGTGGGATGAGATCGAAGGAAAGGTGAAGAGCAAGGTGGGACAGCTAACGGGACTGCTCCAGCATTTCACCGCTTCTTCTGAGTTGGATTCCAATATTTACTACCAGGTTTGTGTGATCGATCTGTGGTTGATTGAATGGATATTTCGGGAGAATGGGAGATTATTTCGGGTGTTTGGTTGTTTGTAGAGTTTGGTGAGCCAGCATAACACCGAGATTGAGGAGATTCTTCGCAAAACTGTGGGGCGACTCCAGCTCTTTAGAGATGCAATGCAGTATCGCGTCGAGGGAGATCGCATCAAAGCTGCGGCCGAGGTAGAGCCTTTGTTTTCCTCTTTCTTTCTTTTCTTCCTTTTCGAGGCTTATACATGAAAGTAAGAAAAATAAAATGCAGGCTGTGCGACTCGAGGCCGAGAATGAGCTCAATGCTTATAAGAAGGTAAGAACTTCGTTCCTTCCATTTTTTTGTTTTAATTCTTTTCTTCTTCTTCTTCAATAGAAGCATTGGAGGCGACTCACAACCAAAAGATGGAGCTTGTTGAGGGGTATGATTTTCACTTTGCAACTAGGAGGAGGAATGCTTACTAGGAATGTGGTGCTCTACAGCAACAGGAATATGGCTTTAAGGAGGGGATAAAAGTTTATTTCACAGCCTTATTTATTCTAGATTTTTTGGTTTACTTAAGTAAACCTGTGTGATAGTGGATATACCTAGAATATGCTTGGATATTCTAGAATATTCTGCCATATAAAGGTTGTAATTGATTTATATTAATCTTGTATTTATAAATTATATAATTTATAAACAATCCTAAACACTTCCTAGTATATATTCTAGTTTATTCTACCATCTAATAGTTGATATTCAATAAAATTAATCTTGTGTTTATAAATTCTAAATATGTTTATAATTAAAGGTTAATAATAGAAATAACACTACTATTAAGCAAACCAAGCATTGCTATATGCAACATGCAGCAAATTATTTTAAAATGATTAATTTTAATTTTATTTTCAAAACATATTATAAGTTTTGTATGAATTTTATGGTAGATATAAAATACTAATTTAATTTAATTTAAAATTATTAATTATTTTGTTTATTTATTATTGTGAGTGCTTGGAATATGGAAAAATGTGAGTGCTTGGAATATGGAAAGGGAATATAACAAATGTGCATATCAATTAACCCAAAAACCCTAGTTTATATACAAGAACGAGTGGTCCGGATTGAAACCAATCCAACGGCTACCAAAATCCCACTACATTAATATTAGTATACGGCATTGTAGCCGTACATTTAGCCCTTATATCATTCCCTCCTCTCAAAATAATGGAAGACCATCAAGGTTCTCTTGTAGATGGGCTGGGATTTGAAAGAATGTCAGGAGGAGGCATTGGCGAATTTGTAGGTGGTATTAATTGTTCTTGATCCCTTTGTATGAAGCGTTTCAACCATTGCACATACATAATCTCTGGAGGATCAGTCTACTGAACGTCATGTCGAACTTCATAAACTTGTGGTCCCACTTGCTGCAACACCCGATACGGTCCTTTTCACTGAGCAAAGAGCCCCTTAGATAAACCACGTATTGTAAAATGGGGAAAACAGACTAACACCAAGTCATCCACTTTGTACTCTATAGGTGGACGATAATGGGACTTGTAGCACTATTTTTGTCCCACTTGTACATAGCCTAAGTGTTCGATAGACTTTGCTTGGACAAATGAAAGAATGCTTGTCAAATATTAATCCCACGACCTAGCATCAGCAGCTCATGGCAATTGCAAAGGTAAACCCAGCTCTGTTGGTAATATTAGATCATGACCATATAGGAGTTTATATGGTGAAGCACCAACAAAATTCTACACCCATGTGACATATGCATACCGAAAAAACGGCAAATAACCATCCCAATCCGAATGCTGAAAGTTCACATACTTCGTGATTATCCTTTTGAATATCCGAATGAGCTATTCCACTAGACTATCTGATTGTGAATGATAAGCACTCGTGAAAGTGTGGTGTATCCCCAATTGAGATATCAAAACATAAAATGCCTCAGCCATAAATGTGGGACCATTATCCGAAAGAATCCGCTCTTGACAAAAATGTTAGAATACCACTCGATTGAGGAGGAAGTATCTATGAGACACAAAATCCCTAGGCCCCAAAGTGGAGCCGGAAGGGTGCCACGTGGTAGTGGCCGAAGCAAAAGCCAAACGAGTGTAACACGTTTGGGCCAAAAGCTCCGACTTGAAAGGTCGAGAGCGGGAGTGGAACTCCTAACGAAGTGCTCGAGGAATGAGCACAAAGTGAGCAATAAGCGAGGCTCCAAAAAGGGACTCAAAAGGACCAACACATGACACGTGGAAGAGTCCGAGATGGAGTCCGAGGTGGAGTCCGAGATGGACCCGAGGTGGAGTCCGAGATGGACCCGAGATGGAGTCCAAGATGGAGTCCGAGGTGGAGTCTGAGATGGACCCGAGGTGGAGTCCGAGATGGACCCGAGATGGAGTCCGAGATGGAGTCCGAGGTGGAGTCCGAGATGGACCCGAGGTGGAGTCCGAGATGGAGTCCGAGGTGGAGTCCGAGATGGACCCGAAGTGGAGTCCGAAATGGACCCGAGATGGACCCGAGATGGACCCGAGATGGAGTCCGAGGTGGAGTCCGAGATGGACCCGAGGTGGAGTCCGAGATGGACCCAAGATGGAGTCCGAGATGGAGTCCGAGGTGGAGTCCGAGATGAACCCGAGATGGAGTCCGAGATGGACCTAAGATGGAGTCTGAGATGGAGTCCGAGATGGACCGAGACGGAGTCCGAGATGGAGTTCGAGATGGACCCGAGATGGAATCTGAGATGGAGTCCGAGAAGGACCCGAGATGGAGTCCGAGATCGAGACTGAGACCGGGACTGAGACCGAGACCGAGACAAGACCGGGACCAGGACCGGGACCGAGGCCGAGGCTGAGACCGAGTCCGAGTCCGAGTCCGAGTCCGAGTCCGAGTCTGAGAGGGTGAAAGCCCAAAGCGTTCGTCTCCCAGACCCTGGGGGGTTTGGTGAGCTCCAAAAGTATAGTAGGGGGAGGACTGCAGTGGAGCCAGTTTGGCCAGGAAAGGCCAGTTTGGCCCAGGAAGGCCGGACCCAGTGTTGGGTGATGAGCTGCCCATTGGGAAGTCCAAGACTAGAGTGAACACGGACCGACAAGCGGGGTAGCTTGGTGAAGTGTTCAAGAGCCGGCTCTAGTTCCCCCGGGAGATCGACTGCCCGATGCTCCCAGTCCAAGTGTGGGTGGCACTACGTACCTGGATACCTGTCGTGGCTCAATGGAACCTTGCTCTAAGCCCATGGCTAGAGCACCTAAAGGCGAAAGGCGGGGAGAGTACCCATGAGGCTTGCATAAGGCCACGGTGTTCCGAAATGTTATCCTGAAGGCCCAGACTGTGGAAAGGCAGAGGAGCAGTCCTTTGGTGTAGTGACTAAAGATACAGTCGTGTGGTGAGGAAGTCCCAGAGGACCGTGGGACTTAGTGGTCGGGCCTGTGAGCCTTGATCCAGTGGCAGTGTTGGCAAATATGGCCATGGCCAGAAAGGGACTTGGCAAAGACCGGAAAAGGGATATTGGGGAAGGCTATTCCCCATGTCTGTGGGCATCTTAAGGATGCTAAGGAGTGGATCTGGAATGATCACTCATGGACGGATGGCTCAGTCCTTGAGAGAGGGGACTATGATGTAGGTGGTGTTAGACCACTAGTGTGACCAAGGTAAAGGGGCATGGCCTTAGCGTAACGGGCGGATATGTCGGTGGTACCTTGGGGTGTCGGTCATGGGATCAGACACGTGGAGCACTTGGATCGAGTGCAAAGGTTGAGTGGCGGGGATGCCATTCTCGGGGCTAACAAGCCCAAGTCTGAAATAGGACTTACGGAGGTTGTGAGTGAGACTCCTCCAAGTGGTTGGAGGTGTGGTTAAGTGACTAAAGTAGAATGGAAAATTTAGTCGCTTATAGTATCCAGTAGCAGTTGCAGAGGCACTAGCAAGAGCACCAACTTCCACCCAACGAGTCAAGTAGTCAAAAACAATAATAACATACTCATTGCCAACAATTGACCGTGGAAAATGTCCTATAAGATCAAATGCCACCAACTCAAACGGATGAAAAACTGCAATTGACTCCAACCATCCTTCCGCGACATGAGGGGGATTATTACGAGCTTAACACCAAACGCAGCTACGCACATACTAGACAATATCACATCGCATCTTCGGCCAATAGAAAGACCTATGTAGCTTCTCGGTTACACAACAATGTCCCATATGCCCACCTAGAATAGGAGAATCATGGTAGGCATGGAGAAACTGCGGAATAAAGACAGAAGGCACCACCAGCCGTAAATGATTATCAAGATTCGTCCCCACAAAATAAAGAAGGCCGTCCTCAAGGCGATATTGAGAATGTAAATGCCAGAAAGGCAAGTCATCAACAAGTGATATAGAATTCTCAAACCCATCGCGAAACCTTCGAATCCATGGCTCAATCTTTTGAGTCTTGCGAACCTCATCAAGAGAAGGTAAATCTTGCTCTGCACCTTATGGACACTGAATATCAAGTATAACAACCGCCAATGGCACAAAATCCTTGTCTAGAAAATCCACAGATGTTAGAATAACAGGCTTGTTAAAAACATGAGAAGAAAGTGGAGAAGGAAGAGGAGCTCGAGATAAAGGCATCAGCATCAGCCATAGAACTCC